CCGGCCTCACCCGCCGCCTCGCCCCGGTCCCCGGCCTCACCCACCGCCTCGCCCTGTGGGAAGCTCCTGGTCAGACCCCGGGGCACGGTCACACATCCAACAGCACCGAGCGGTTCCCTCGTGCTTCTGTTGGACGAAGATCAGGTCTTTCCACTTCCGCAGGCGATAGTGAAGTAGAACACTTGTGTTACCTCAGGGATGCTGCACGACTATTACAGTAACACTACGCAGGATGAAAGCTCTCCAAATCCAGAGGCAGACGTATGTGGTTTACACAGTCAGCACTGTAACTGTTTAGCCATTTTTCTGTAAGGACACAGCAACTGGCTTGTATTTGAACTTTAAATGCACGACCTCACCTAAAAACCACCAGTATTGCCACCAACTGCTGGCAACTGGCCCCATTCTTCAAGACAGCGTTAAACGTCCTTTCAGCTGCTCCTTTCATACACACACTTCATAAAAAGCACCTGCACGACCTGGCAACGCTACGGCTTTGCTTAGCAAATCAAACCAGTGTTTCCTTGAACGTGATGACCCAACAGGACAAACCGGCTCTTCCACCCCTCACTGAAGTTTAGGGCATTGCTAGACCCTGCAGAAAGCGGTGCAGTTCACAGCTCCCGAAACCAGCTCCAACCCAGCAGCATCTGCTGAAGGTCTTGTTTCAGGCCTGGGGCAGGACAGGATGCCAAGCAGACCGCAGCACTTCGGTGACAGTTCAGTTCTACAACCGCCTGGCCCACGCTGGTGCTTCTGCAGGGTCAGGTCCTGGCACCCCTGGCCCATAAAGACCCCATGACTAAGTGCTTACGCAGTACTTTTCTCAGCAAAGGAGACCAGTACTTAAGTATTTCAGATGTCATTCATGTTTAAAGAGGGATAGTCCCTGTGATACACACACAATTCCAGCCCATCCCACGCAAAGACATCTCACTAAAACAAACAAAAAAAAAACCCAAACCCAAACCACAAAACAAAAACCCAACCAACCAACCAAAAAAAACCCCCAAAAAATCCAATTTTGTATCTGAAAGGAACAGATTTATCTACCTTCCTCCCGCAGAACAGACAAAAAAATGCTCCTGCTGCCAGAGGGTCTCAGGACAGTGGAGATGCCAAGTTTAACACTACATAGCAGCATAAACAGAGAAGGTGAGTTTGAGCACTATGTTCCAAGCCTGCAGACGGACAAAGAAACCCATCTCAACAAGCAGCCCCACAAAAGCCAAAAGCACACCGACCCCAAACAAGACACACAACATAGTACAGAGAGCAGCAGAATATCAAGTAACAGCGTTCTTGCGAGATGGGGACAAGCAGATATTGGAATCACTCGGAAGTTTGTAGCTCATTACAAGTATCTGTAGTGCACTACACCATTATCTCCTATTTTCTCTTCAAAGCCAGTTGGTATAAAGAAATGTTGGTTTTTCTGGGCCAGTTTTACTATGCGGAAGGCAAGGAGCAAGATAGCAATAGGAACAGAAAATAAGATCTGTGCATAGGTTACAGATTTGCTTTTTATATGCTTTTTCACAACAGATTTTTCCTTTTGCAAATATATGGGCAAATACTGTATTGATTATTGTGGGAATTTTCTATGGCAGTGAATGAGCAACATAGGAAAATACTCAGATCCTGTGGCTACTGTACAGCTGTGTGGATGAGAAAACACCGGAGGACCGAAGGACAGTAAATTCTCTTAATTCTGTGCAAATTCCAATAAAGACCCACAAAAGGTTGTGTTTTCTTGAGCTTAATTGGAGCTTTATTACTTAAGCTGTGACTTCACAGTCTTCACCTTCAGCAATTTGCAAACAGGAGGCATACAAGAAAGGTTACAACGCTTAGCGGAAGAGACTCCATACTGAACAGGGTGGGTAAGGGGGCAATCCCAAGGCAGAAGAACTGGGAGTGCCAATTTGTAATCCAGTCTCACGTGAGGACTCCTGGAAAAAGCTGGTTACTTGAAAGAAATCAGGACATAGATTTAGGAAGCAGAACCCGGAATTAAACTGGAACCAGAAAGAGACAAACACCAACGGCAAAATGCAAATGAACCAAGCAGAGTAAATCCAGACAGAACCCAAACAATAACAGAGGCTGATTGAATAAATAAAGTCCCTAGGATTAAACCAGATTTATGCTGCCACTCAGCTTCAACAGACATATAAAGCTGTAATTGACTGTGTCATGGTGGCTTCAGCCTCTGCTCCCCTGAAGCCACTGTCCAAACAGGTAGAAAAATAAAGGTCTAATTCACTGGAAATTCTTTCATTTACAAAACTAATGGAATAGGGTTTCTTTTTATGCTTCTGTGTCAACTTCTGATTTATCTTCAACTCCGTTCTGCTCATCTTTCATTTCTGCATCTTCAGTGTGGCTGATTTGAAGAGGAGCAGCCGACTAAATAGAGACAAAGAAAACAGATTCCATATTATAAAATACAGTTAGCATTTACAAACAATACCACAAACATTATTTGATTCTTACCACGAGGGTACCTAGTCTCCTTGCAAGACCGAATTAAGATATTAGGACCTTCAGCAAAGACAGACCAAAATTTTCTCAGCATTTTTATCTGCATCTCAGAAATCATAAGCAGTTTAAAGGAGGCTGAGAAATAATACTGGTGTTAGATGGTTATAATTCATATGTGGTGTGCACACATTTGACACGTAAGACTTCAAGAAAGTGTTCTCCCACAGACTGAAATTCGTTTAGGAAGCTTCTGCACAGAACTGCTTTCATCCTGCTTCAATTGCTACGTGTGTGAAATAAGATGCAATTCAATTCCAACCATTCCCATACACTGCCCCCACCCCCAACTTGTATGATGCACACAGACTCAAGATACAAAGAAATGCCTTTATTGGACACCTAGTTTCATAAAGAGTGACTTCAACTTGGCAAGAGTCCTCTGTAAGAGTTTAGCTGGAAGAGAATCTAATCTGATAAGGTGGCTGCTCTAAAAGCCCCTCTCCTTGCCACATCTTCCAGTTCACATAGAAGGGTGAGAGCCTTGTGGCAAGGGTCTGAGGTCAGTTTTTACAACGGGACATAACCAGCACATTCTGACCTTGCAGTGATTTTCAAACACAGCAAAGGGAAGTAGAAATGTCTACCTCATCCTGCTTATCTCAAAAGATAGTGCAATGAAGCTGCTCTTCAACCTGTCAGCCTAGTACCCTGAACCATCTGTTTTATTACGAGGTTAGGTGAGGACAGACAAGAAGAAGCAAGGACATGAACATGCTCTATTGGAGGAGGGGGTAAAAGGGTCAGAATCCTTCAACTATTACATCATCTTAGCTGCAACAAGCAACCACAGCCAACGAACATCCAGGCATCAAAGGTCAACCTCTCATCCTTAGAAGCATTCTGTGAAGCACACAAGAGCAAAGCCTCCTTTCCAGAGAAAACCTATCACCTGGCAATCCTGGCCTTATGATAAGGTGATAAACATCCCAGCCTCTAAAAATTCACAGTTTACATGTGTGAACTATTTGAATTTATGAAACAGATTACTGATGCAAGAGTGACTGTTCTACTTCTGCAGCCTATATAAGATATGCAGATGTCATGAATTTCAGAACTACAGTCCAAGCTGCCTTCTTAGAAACCAGAAGACATTTGGTAAACAAACCCTCTCCTCCAGACCTCTTAAATGTATATGTCTCCCCCAACAGGAAAACTGTTGCTGTAAAGCAACATGAGAAATGAATTAACAGGAAAACATGTTTTCTTGCAAGAAAAATACCCAAGACTGACCTGGGCATCAAGTGTTCCACTGATCCTTTTTGATGGAAAAACTACATGAATTTGAAGTAGGCCAGGTGGCTCCAAGAAAAAAAGTAATACTGTAAGCACAGGCACATTCCAAAGATTATCTATCTACTCAGAAGAATGAACGAGGCCAATAGGATCCTGGCATGCACCAGAAATTGTGTGGCCAGCAGGACTAGGGCAGTGAGTGTCCCCCTGCACTCAGCACTGGCGAGGCTGCACCTCGAATCCTGTGTTCAGTTCTGGGCTCCTCACTACAAGAGAGATACTGAGCTGCTGGAGGGTGTTCGAAGCAAAGCGAGGAAGCTGGTGAAGTGTCTGGAGAACAAGTCTTATCAGGAGTGGCTGAGGGAACTGGGGTTGTTTAGTCTGAAGAGAAGGAGGCTGAGGGGGGACCTTATCACTCTGTACAACTACTGAAAGGACATTGTAGTGAGATGAGTGTCTTGTAAGTAACAAGTGATAGGACAAGAGGAAATGGCCTCAAATTGCACCAGGGGAGGTTTAGAGTGGATATTACGAAAATTTCTTCACCGAAGGGTTCTCCAGCATTGAACAGACTGCCCAGGGAAACGGCCGAGTCGCCGTCGCTAGAGGTATTCAAATGACATGCAGATGTGGCACCTGGGGACATGGTTTAGTGGGGAACTTGTCAGTGCTGTGTTAGGTTGGACTCAGTGATCATAAAGGTCTTTTCCAACCTAAATGATTCCAGGAGTCTGTAAGCTGATTCTACCTGAAGTAGATGGGAAAACTGGAACTACTGCCATGTCTTTGCAGAATCCAAAACAGTCTGCAATGCAAAGACTGAGAGTCTGCCTTTTGCCAAGTATACAACCCTACCAAGTTCCCGTCTTGGGGTCTGAGGTGTAAATTCTGAAAAGCATGAAGGCAGCTCTTTCATACTTTTAGTGGGTATAGCTAGGTTTAGCAATCCCCTTTTCCTCTCTGAATTGATTTTGCTCTGTCCCACACCTAGTGGACGAAGCCAGATTCCCAGCAGCTGTGCTACCTGAAAAGAACCTGCACATCACAGCCTGACAGCTGGCAATTAAAACCTACAATTTCAAAAGTGAAGGTGTCCAATAGTGAAATAATTCTAGTTTAGTTCCTGTGCCTTTATCTTCCCGAGATTTTTTATTAAAGCCTACCAAAAATTATGGTTCTGCATGGCTATACATGACAAGTCTAGAAGGACGGAATACTTTCTTCCAAGCTCCAGTAAGCAAGGACTGTGGACATGAGGCTGCTTTAGCCAGATATGTAACTACAAGGACACTTTCCTCGCAGAATCAGCGGAGAATGTCTGCATTTGTGTTTGTTTACACTCCTTCAGGAGAAGCAGAACCAAATCCACGTGACTACTGCTAATCTTTGAAGAGCAAAAAAATCCGAACCGAAAGCAAACACAAAAAACCCCACAAATCCCAAAAGCCACTAACAGAACAGCTTGCCCACCCAACCATTCAGTTAGGCGTGATTACCCTGTATGACTATTACTTTAGAGTAAGAGATGAAAAATGGAATAGTTCTCCCACTGTCTCTGGAACATAAATCAATTTCAGATATATCTCAATTTGAAAGACTGCAGGAAGGTAAGAAAAAGAGAGGTTTGTGGAGTGTTTCACGCAGGAAATTATCAGCTGACAGTCTGAGATACCCCAGTTGTCAGGATACACTCATCTGAAGACAGTGGGCCCCTGGCCAGACTCACTGGCACAGTTAGCCACCAGAAATTGGTGTATCAGTATCTGACAATTTTTTAGATAAGAATCTAATGCATATTCCGGAAGGTGGACACAAAGATCTGTGAAAATAACCTCACAATATACAAGCTTCTGCACTCCTCAATGTTTCTGAGAAAACGTGAGTCTGATATAAATCTCAGATTTGTCTTGAAGTTACAGGGTTACCCACTCCTTCCTGATCATCAGATTTCTGGAATACAAACATAACATTTTCTTAAATTACGTAATTCTCACCAGTAACTTAGAATGTTTCTTGCTACCTGATACAACCTTGTTACAACTTGTATTCAAATATTGCCAGCGTTAATTGAACTAGTATTTACTAAAATTCTAGTGAATACTTAGTAGGAAAACAATCTATACAGCAGAATAATGAATCTTATGACAGTCTGACTGACACTTCAGAATCTGTGACATCTGAGCATCAACCACATCTTAATGTCTCCGTGAGAAATAAGTGGGTGCTCAGCACCATCTGTACAACAGACATTAACGTCTTAGTAAAGGCACCAAAACAGACTGCTCTTCACGACAATCAGTTTGAGGAGAACAGGCACTTTTTTTCAGGTCCTGAATCTTACGTTTGCATCTCATCACTTCAACTGTTCTCTGATTAACACTGACTGCTCTTGCAAATTCAGCTGAAGTGAAAGCATTCTGTGCAATGCCTGGTACTACTAGTTGTCTTGTTCAGACAAGATGGCCTAATAATTTTGATCGCTGGCTATTTACACCTCCTACCAGCTCCGCAAGGAAGGTACTTGAGTGTTCTTCCGCTACATTTATCTGTACTCAGTAAGCTGAATACCTAAACCAGTACTCCTTGTCTAACACATGACACCACCTCTTGTCATCTTCTGGTGCACTGTTACTTACCTTTAAGTCTTTGTCTGCAAGCCTTTGGAACATGTTGGCATACATCTTTTTCTCTTTCTCATGCTGCTCCCGTATTTTTTGCTGACAAGTTACCAGTTGCACTTTGGCAGCTTTGTTACTTGGATAAAGTTGTATCACTTTCTGGAAATCTCCCCGGGCTAAGTCAAAGTCATTGACAGCCAAGTGTGCTTCTCCACGCCGGAAGAGGCCTTTTTCATTGTTGCTATCCAGTTCCAGTGCCTGCATTAAATAAGACAAGCAAGATTCATTTTTTTTTTAATATGCAGTCAGAACTCAAGAGACAGCTAGAAACTGTACCTTCTAATGTAGATTTATGAATCTTGTCAGGGCTTACTAGTAACGTGAGTAGAATACAGTAGAAGTAGGTACAAAAAGGACTGAATACAGTCTTACAACTTGACAAAGAACCAGCAAATCTAAGATTTAGCCCTGGCTGTATTACAGCTCTTTGAAGGACTTTTGCCAACATTACTACTCTCACCATATCTAAATACTTCAGTATTTAGACAGCGGAAAGTTGGTAGAAGATATCTAGGTAAGAAATACTCAACAATAAACTGCTGGCTATTTTACAGTTTGTATTCAGTACTGCCCAACTGCACTACTGCAAGCTGATAAGAAAGGCCAAACACCACATGGTCTGGTAATCCTCAAAGTGTTAAAGAAAGAGATAAACTGTCAGATCACTTCTGCAGTTTAAGAATAAATAAACCCTTACTACCTTGTTGCAGTTTTCCAAAGCCACGGAGTATTCCTTCAGCTTGAGGTGGCACATAGCTAGATTAAGGTGAGCAGCAAGCCTCAAGCTTTTGGCTTTCATATCCTCCTCATCGGAGAGTCCTGATTCATGCTCCAGCCATGACACAATCTTCTTATATTGTAATGCTGCCCGTTTGTATTTCCCCTCCTGTAAACAAGGCAGTTCAATTATCACACAGCTCACAAGATTTTTATCTCCCTTTGACCCTTCTGCTTACCTTGAGCAATAGATTTAAAAAAAATAAAAATAGAAATCAGGAAATAGCTTCTATCATAAAAAATATGTTACTTCTGAAAGCCATTACTGCATAGGATCAGAAGATCTTTAGGAATACCTACTGGTTCCCCCACTAAAGCTAGGGGTAATAGGCCAGCATTGATATTTCACCTCAACTCCCATCTCATACACAGCTTTTGATACAAGCCAAGGAAGATGGGGCATTTTCAAAACAGTAGAACTACTGCTGTGTCATGAAGATAATGGGAAAGCCTGCCTTTAGTTGGTCAAATTGTTTTGAACAGCTTCTCCACACATCTCTACCCAAATGAACGTTGTTCATTCACAGTACTATCCCATAGCAGGAATTTATACCATAGCCTTGCTTCTGTTCAATGTATACCCCAAATTTATCTGTAGGTACAGCAAACAGCTCTGACAGAGGGAACTAACTCCCTGTAGAGTTAGTTCTTTAGTTATTCCAACTCTGAGGCTCTTTTTTTTTTTTTTAAAAGACACCTTCCTTTCCAATCCTCCCAGTAAAACAACCCAGAATATGACAAACACCACTCTGAAATGACAGAAGCTGCCAACAGCTCATGACATGGACTAAGAAATACTATTATTACCTGGGGATTGTAATTTACCTTGAAGTACTGAGTGCCTCTCTCCTTCACAATGCAGCTTTGTTCCAGCTTCTCATCCGTGTTCATTTCCCAAGACTCCTTAGCCTACCCAAACAGGAACAGCTCAAGTCAATGATACAAATTCTGGGAAACCAAGGGCTATGCGGCTACCCTGCTTCCCACTAACAGTATGGTAGATACGTTTGGCAGAGCGGAGTTTTGCACTGCTACTGGAAACTGGGCTGGAACAGGATAGACACTGACAGCAACAGAAAGGAATACAGTAAGAATAGACAATTTCAGCCACGTGCTCCCAGTGTCATCTCTGGCAACAATGGCTTCCCTATTTCAGATCAACTTTCAAGGATTCCATCATCCTTGCTTAAGCTGCACTCATACTTCCTCCCCCACCTCCCAGTCTCTCTTTGGACTTCATCTCTCATTCCTACCTTTTCAAAGCTCTTGAGTTTCACTTCATACTGCAGCTCTGCATCTGGAGGGATCTGAAATTTCTCCTTCCCAGCACTTCCAAAACCATAGCTGTAAGATTGGGGGTTGGGAGAGATTTTTTATAAAAATGGAGAGAGGAAAAACACCCTAAAGTATCTCACAAGAATCTTTAATGTTTTTTTCCAAAAGGCTTTCAGAGCACCAGCGAACATCATCTTCTGACAAAGGATTATCTGACACTCTTTACTAACCACATCATCCAAGGACTAGTTATCTGTTACACTGGGTTGCTCAGAAGGCTCACTGGCTCTCTTCCTATTTTGAGCTGTTCTTCATGTACAGCAAAAGTAGTGTTTCATTAAGAGGAACCATAAAAATGTAAGTTAAGGAGAGCAACAATATTTTTTATAATATTCACCAAGATCAACATTATAGAGTCTGAAGCAAATGTCTTTTGGAATGCTACTACTTCCAACCAAATGGCAAAGCAATCTTAGCCTCTTATTTCTCATATATCAAACTTTGGGGGCTGATCAAGTTTTTACTAAAGCACTGGAAAAAAAAAAGCAGCAGCAGCTGAAAAGCATTATAGGAAAGCACTTAATCCTTGCCAAATACTTAGTATATATACCAAGACATGTAAGTATATACTGAAGTATCAGAAGATATAGAAACAGCATACCTGGGTTTGAGATAGAACACCGATTCCTCCGATTTCTCCATTTTTTGAATTGCTTTCTCAAGACCATGAGGAAGATCGTAGTTGTCACCTTCTCCAATCTCAAACTGCAATTCCCGCCTGTCAAAAACACGATCTCCATATCGACCTTCAAACTGGACTGGTAACAAAAAGCAGAGAAAAATCATAATATATCTATGTATGGTAAGGGGCAGGTAGCATAGGTGATATAGAGAGTGCCAAAGCCTCCTCCTAAATGGTCTTATCTCTTTTAACAGCTACCTATGCATGGCAGCTACTGGCAGCAAGTAAAACTTCTGCTGCTAAACTTAATAAATCCCCTTTTTCTGGTTGTTCTCTCCCTCTTCCTCCCCCAGCAAGTGCCAGAACTACTTCCCTTCTTATTCCTCAGCAAATGGAAATACTTTATTAGACTCATCTACCTTTTGTGATCAGATAAGCACTTTATCAGATTCTCTGGTATCTCTGATCATCTCCCTCTGGAGAACACAGTTGCTGCTGGAAAATGTAAACCTTGCTAGAAATAGGAGAATGAAAGCTTACTCTAGGTTGTTAGGTTGCCTGGTAAAGGAAAGAGAAGCCCCATATTCGTCTCTGTCAGGGCAAGGAGTTGTAAAATGGGAAAAGGTTCTGCCCTCCCACATGATAGACCCATTTACTATTTGTGTAACATACTTACTCTCTACAAGTGCACCCTCATTGGGCTTGGAGTAGCCTTCCCCTTTTTTACGGATTCTTCGGATGATGCCACCATCTTCATCATCAGTAAGGTCCTCCCCCTTGAACTCAAAAAGTTCTATCTGCGGAGGGAAGAAAAGCCTTGCATTTGTTCCCATTACACCAATGGGGTATGTTCTCCAGATCTTTGAAACTGTGATTGTTCAGGAAGCCACCACCTTAGTTAACATCCTGTATGAGTTTAGACAGCCAGCGTTATAAAGATGCTGTAATTCAGTAGATGCTGAATGAAAAACTACTGAAGAGTTTCAGATTATATTGAGACCTTCATGGCTTTTTTCTCCAGCAATCTTGGTCTCTCAATACTACAACTGAGATCATTTCAATTAAAGGACTGTGAACCTGGCTTCTGAATAAAGCTTACATAAGCCACAATGCGAAAAAAGATTCTACCAGCTTTAATAGTATTTTTGCTAATGTCTGCAGGCAGAAGTATGGATAGTGAGTTTTGGGCTTGAGGGTCTGGGGCTTTTACGTGTTGTTTTTTTGTTTGGTTGGTTTTTGTTTGTTTGGAGTTGTTTGGTTTGGGGTTTTTTTTTAATACAAAGGAAAAAACATTTTGAACACATTAAGCCAGGAGGAATTTGCTCTCAAATGCCACTCTGAAGTGAAACCAAAGCAGCTGTCACACCCTCTTACTCTACAGTCAAGTACAATCAGCAACAGTGTCACTGCATCCAAATGCCAGGGAGGTTTGTAAGTAATGCAAGCACAAAATGAACAGGAAAATTAAACATAAAGATGCAATCCTTATCCTTAAGTCCTGATTATACCCTTAATTCCACCTATAGTCAAATTCAGACCAACTTCAAAGCACTCAGAATGGAGCCCAAACTGATTCCAATCGCTTGTCCTGCTATATTTAAACAAATTCAAGAGCATCTTTTCAGACTTCAGCTATTCCACACCCATTTCTTCATCCTCCTACTTTTGTGCCACAGAACAATCTTTTCAAAACTCCCTTGCATGCCTGAACAGAGATAACGTTCTCTTCCTATTCCTGTTGCATTTTCCCCTCTAGTCTTGCCTTATTATTGTGTATTGTGGGATCATTTCAGAAAAAAAAATTTATTTCCAGAAGAATGATAAAATAACAGAACTGTGATCTGGCCCACATTTAATGTAAGCTTGTTGCTGCAACAATTTGTCTAGAGTTTTTAAGAGATGATGGTAATGCAGGAGGTAACCATCCAGCCTTGATCTTTACATGTTCTCCCAAGTCTCTAATGCAAATCATAGTTGAAAGTGGGAGTACCATGACAAGATAGAAAAATAGTCTAGTCACAAAAGAAATTTGTTGTTGCTGCTGTGAAGAAGAAAAAATAAAAATCTTTTGCTATCCCGTGTTTGATTAGAACAGTAGTAAAACAGCTCAAAAGAGAAAGCTATTATACTCGTGATTGTTTAGAACAAGTACCTTGTTTTAAAAACCAAAAAAACAACAAAGTTCAGGTCTAATGCTGTGGGGCTTCATAATACTGGACTTAAATCTGGAATGTAAAAGAACTGAATATGCACCAGAAGAAGGAGTATCTCCACTCTGTATTTTGATAGCTATATAATAAATAATATCCTGGTCTTTCAAAAAAACCCAAAAAACCAACAACCAAAAAAACCCAACCCAACCTCCCTCCAAAAAAAAACCAAACCCAAAAACCAACAAAAAAACCCGCAAACCCCAAAAAACCCAGACTCTTTTTTATCTAAATAGTACCTAAAAGGTGGAGAGGTCAAACAGGCACCATTAAGAAAAACCTAGTGGGAAGCAAATAACTTAGGTGACTGTATCAGATAGACTCAGGAGTACTCTGATGAAACAAAACACATCTTGCCATTAGAGCATTTGTTCACCAAAAGGTTATCTCTTGCTGTAGAACAACAACTAAGCCCTTAAGAATGCTTTATTATGCTACCAAGGGAGGTCTTAAGCTTTGAGACACTGCACACAGACAGTAAAAAGCAGAGAAGCTGAACACGTTTAATAATTGCTACACAAAGTTCTGTCTTTCCTTTCCCTCAACCAAACTGAAGTAAGCAGAAAAAAGTGGAATAGGAAGAAAACAAACCAAAAACCAGACCAAACAAACAAGCAAAAACCCCAATAAAACAACAAAACCAGCCAACCAAACAAAAAACCCAAAGAAACAAACAAACAAAACCCACACCAACCCAAACATTAGAGTTTGCATTTGAATCATCCGGTCAGAACACAGTTAGTATTTTAGTGTTTTTATCTCTCTGCATCACTTGCATTTGTACAAAACACATAGCACTCCAGCACGTGCGGTTCATCCAATATAAATAAGCCATGAGTATCTTCAGATTTATATATATAGGAATGCTATTTAAGAACAGCTTTACAAGACATTCTTTTTCAACAGTCAACTGCACAAATAATAGCATTAATTCCGATGTACTTAGAATGTGTAAATTCTCATCCCTTAGTGGCCTGGAATACAACCTGATGGCAGTATATTTTTCTTAACCCTTCCTCACAAAATACATCTCTAATGCTATTTATTACAAATAGGTGAAATGCAAAGAAAATAAATGTAAATGCACTATCCAAATTTAATACAAATACAATATCCAACTATGTTTAATTTACCCTTAACAGATGATCATCGTTTCCATTAAAGTCTAAACAGGCTTTCAGTCCCTACTCCATGAGCTATTTTTACCTTTCTCAGATACTAGGTAAAACATTGAATCTTAGAGCAAACATTAAAGCTTAAAAACTTTCCCTATGCCCACAACGTAGCATTACGATTAAATACTTTAGAATGAAGTAATTTTAGAAATCACACTTAAAAAGAGTACATCTGCCTTCTCTCAAGTGAGAAACAGAACTGTTTCAGTAACAAGAAAAATATATCCTCCCAAAACACTGGACTGTCAGAGCATGCTCCAGAAAGCAGCTTTACTATCATCCCTTATGGAGGAAAAAAAAGTCTCAACATTCTGAGAAACCACTCTCACTACTGAAATAATACACAAGAGAGCTGCTATTTCCACCCTCTTTTGGGAGCGTGGGAGGAAAACAGGGGGAGGATGCTTTCAAGATCAGTAGGAAACAAATTCCGTCCTCTGCTGGTGACATTAAGAAACACCCATGCTCACCAAGGCCTGCAGTTCACCAAGGAGACCAACTGACCATGTGAACTGTAGAACAGCATTACCCAAACGCCAGACTCAAGACTGCTGAATCTGTCACAGGGCCAAGAGTGCATAAACAACTTTCTATCATGGTAAGACTGATCTGTAACCTGGATCCACGGAGAGACTTAGCTAATCAACAGGCAACCTGAATCCATACTGTTCTTGCAGTGCTTTAGGGCTTATTAAAATGCTCAGCTCTATAGAACACAGTTCGTAGTTTCAGGGCTGTTCAAATACACTATATTCTAGCAGTTTATATGAAGCAACTATCTCTTTTTCTCCCCAAATAGCTCATATAAGATTGTGTTAACTTTGCAAACAAAACACAAAAGACTATTAAAAAAATATTACTAAGGACATTAATTGCTCTCTGTTGTTGAAAACTTTAAAATGCTTAACGTAAGTATTATTACTTTGAGCCTTATGAAGTGGAAAGAGGATTCAAGGTTTCATTTTTTCAACTACCTCAGGGTCCGCCACTGAGACCATGCACCCTTCCAACCTGTACTCTCTTTCAGTGACTATTCCATACTGTAAAATTGGAACTGTGAACACTGTAAAACATTCAAGTATTTTAAACTCCAAAATAAGGGAACCTGAGCCACTGCAGGTCAGCAGCAGCCAGACTAGAATTCCACACTACCATAGTTGACCATATGTTTTTCTTCAGAAAACCTAAAATTCCTGTTTGAAATTCCTTATTTCTATGGTGAAAATCAGTGAAATAGATTTTCTGCTTTAGTTTTTCAAGTGTACAGTTTTAATAACCATCTCTCACCTCAAAAATCAGCGTAGCATTGGGAGGTATCTTTGGGGGGCTCCCAGCTGAGCCATAGGCATATTCTGGTTTACATGTAATCCGACAGATTTCACCAACTTTCATAGTCGCCACAGCAATGTCCCATGCTTTGATCACTTCACCTATGCAAGTCAAATTTCAATCACATGATTGCTAGGCATACATAAAAGGCACAATCAGCTGTGAAACTGAGCATCACCACTTTTAGTATACAAAAGCTAAGACAGCAAAAATACTGACAAGAAATACCGAAATAAATACTGAAAGTCCTGTGTTCACTCCGATTTCTGTACATCAGTTTTAACCCTTATCAAATTATAGTTACCTAGCAAATTCAGCTAAATTCCTTCATTCTAGGTGTAGTAAGCGATTCTTCTCCTCCCCTTATTTCCTCACCTATAAAGAACACAAGTCATCTGAACAAAGACAAGGGCTGAAGTGCTTGGCACAATCTCAAGTGCGAGGAAATAACAGTAACTCTCCGAAGAGGAAGGTCGTAGGGTGAGAGATTGCCTGCTTGTATTTTGAAAGCAATCCAAAGAGCGTTTTCTCTCTGTACTTTATCAGTTGGCAAAGAGCAGCACGAGTGGTAACTAAAAGTTACATGCACTTTTAACAGAAATGGGGAGGAAAGCAGGACAAGTAGTTTTCTTTCTAAAGCCAAAAGCGAACAGAAGCTGGAACCTCAAGTAACAAAATCCTGTCTCTAAACTCAAGCTCTCCTACTTGCTGCTCCTTTCAACTCAAGCATTCTATCAGTCTTGTATTAAGAGGTACACTTCATGTCATCTCAAATTCAAGCACATTGCAGAATTTATCTCCCAAATGAAAAAGCAGCAAGTAATGAACTGCCGGTGAAAAAACACCAAACCAACGGACTGGTAAGACATGCTGTAACAAGGATGTTTGGATTTTTTAATTAAAAAAATAAACAAATTCAAATAAAATTAAATCTTTTGACAATGAAGAGATACGCTGCTTCAAGATTCACCTTTGGGTTAATTTGGGAACTTCGGGGAAAAGAGAATATGTTTCATCACACTGCAGCTGACGGCTGCCCCAGTGCACCCTGTCCCAGTACCTAGTCACAATCAAGTACTCCTGAATGCAAGTCTTTGCCAAAAAGGAGGAGAAATCAACAAGATGCGCTTCCTGGCTATTTGACTACCCTTTATCACTATGCACCAGGGCAAATTTGCTCCCCTGGAGTGCTTTGTCTGAGGCCAATTAATTCTTCAGCAGGCTTCAACCAAGGGGCTACACACAGTCTTCTCATTCAGAAAAATCTCAAAGTTGCTCTGATTGGGTCATTCTAAGAGAATAAACCATAAGCTCTGAAAGCAAGTTTGAATAGCAACTTTAACGTGAAAGGAAATCCCATCTCAATTATTACCAAAACGAAGCACAAGATATTACCTTTGCCCAAGTCAAACGAGAATTTGTCTCTCCTGTCCAGACTGGAGTCAAATTTTGTGCCATCAAGAAGCCATCCTGTGTAATGGACGGTCACTTTATCACCAATCATTGGAGACTCTGTCCCACTGCCTTCTTTCTTGACAACCTGAGAAAAACACACGCAATTCTATGAGCATGAAAACTAACGCTGCTTATTAGACATGAATTCTATCAACTTAGACACGTGAGTTACCTTCAGTAGATAAACGATTTCCAGGTTTACTTCAGTTATCAGGAAACGGACTGACTATTCTGTCTGAAGATCAGCAGTGTTGCAAATGCAGAAACCTCAAGATGGCTCTTGCTGTCATGAGAACTTAATTGGCACCAGCTTACAGATCTCTGCATCTATAGTTAGCAATGTCACTTACCTTTCCTCAGTGGGATTTTACGTGTTCTTGAAACTTCATCAGGTGAACCATTAGGCTTTATTTAAGTACTTTCCTCACCACCACTTTATCACTACACCGGAGTTTGCAGTCTAGGCAAACCAGAAAATGAGCTGGTTCTCTCCATGTAGTCTATTCTAACATAAAATCTGAGATTACTTGAGCTAAACCAGACAGTTTAACAAAGATTTACAGAATCTCACCTTAACACAGGTTAGTTCAAGCAGTCAACACAGTAACGCTTTGGGATTATTAGGTGGCATTAATTTTGTCTCCCTAGAACTTTGACACAGATTGCTAGCACCACGATTCCACATACAGCTGCAAAGATTTGATTTTCTTCTCAAGAGATTCCCCAGCCTAGCTAGTCAGACTAGTATCAACTGAACTTGGTATACAAAAACCAAGATTGGCCAATCTCTCTGGTGTTCACTTGAAATATATATAAAAACAGATGAGAATACTGACAATACCCTTACAGGGCAAGAATATGAAGCCTTGCCCGTAACAGGACAAAACTGAGTTTTCTCCAATACTGACTGAAGCCACCTAACTCTGAGCCAAAGCTGTGCATTAGTTTAGCGAGGCAAAAGAGAACCAATGGAGGACTTTAATTACTTGCATCTATGGAGTTCATAAAGACAAACATTCATTCAAGGACAGTCATGCAGAAGTATGGATTGGTGTCCCTCCTTTTAAGAAAAGCTATAAAAATGCCATGCTACTGTACCAATCGTGTTTTGCACTGAAGGAAGCAGCAAAATATGCTCCCGAGGGAGCCTCCTTCCCAAATTTCAAGTTCTTGCAACCAACCAGTCTCTTACTTTCGCTCCCACCACCCCTGCAACTGGCTACATGACTGGAACACCGGCGCCCTCCACCCAAAGCTGAGGCAGTGACAGCTCTTGTCAGACTCAAGCTGGAAGCACCTCACTGCATACATAGAAGAGGGGGGGGAAAAAAGGAAAAAATAAAATTGTTCCAAAGTAGTGATTTTAATTAAGTCAATCTGAACACACTTTGAAATAACCACATTTAACACTAAGCTTTTCAAATACCACGTTCTAGCAGTGACACAGCAAGTTATCCAGCATGAACATAATGAATATCTCATATTCAGTATTTACACAATATTTAATGTTTTGCATTTATTTCATTTTTAAGAGACTCAAGTTCCACCTTTTTCATACACCCAATAGGGCATACCCCTCTTTTTCATAAGGTTTAAATTTCCCTTTCAGGTGGAGAAACCCGATTCTTCTGTTCATACTGTGTTTGTAAATATTTCTGTTTCTAAACTTAAATACTTACACTAGAAACGGTGCAAGCACCTTCAGCGATACCAGGTAAAAACCACTGGGTACTATTCTGATACAAAGCTAATCAACAAATTAAAAAAACCCCTCCTGGAATTAATGCAGTCAAAATTGGGTGTCAGTTACTTCAGAGTTAGACCCTTGGTTTCAACGGGTGTATTCTGCTTTCTGGCAATTTCTTGAAAAATCCATGAAGGCTGGACTTCATGATCTTTACCATCTTCTGCCTTATCAATTCACAATCTCACCTTTTCTGAGGTTCTCACAACCTCGGTTCTTTTGCAATTATTTTCTCCTCCCCCCCTTCTTAAAAATTTGGAAGAAAAAACTTATCACCTACTGCTTCTCCATCATCAGAAGGTGGGTACTGCATGGAGCAGGCTGACACTTACTGCCTTTTACCACGCTCAGGGATCTGAGCTGCAGGTGACAGCCAGGCAGCTTCCTGGGCAGCCACACCAGTGAAAACTCTAACCTGATACTGTGCAACATGGAAAAACTGACACTTGCACCAAAGCACGTTAGCAGGAGATGTGGGAAAGCAGAGTATCTTCAGCTTGGTCCCTCATACCCCTGGAGGCTGTGCCCCTATGGCAAACCCAGAATTTAAAGCCAGAGGGTTCCAAAGCTTAAATCCAGAATTTTGCCTTTGCTTTGGGGCTGCTTTTCTTCTTCCCAACACTGTAACCTGCAATTTCACTGCGATTAAAAAACGCTTCCAGTGATTGTTAGCATTTAAGAGACTAAAGAAGCTTCCAGAGATATGGAAATAGGAAATATCTAAGAGAGAAGGTTAGTGCAACTCCCCCTCATGGCATTAATTCTGCTACCCGTACCAACCGACTTCCCAGTACAAAGGAAAGAAGCCAG